ACACGGCGCGGTGTTCAAAGGAAGACATAAAAAGGTAACGCTATGATGAGCATTTCGTAATGCTGATGCCGCTGATGCCTTATACTGCGGCTCGACATGCGAATAATTACTCGACACGAATGCTATAAACGTAAATCGATGTCTTCATTCACAGAAACATGATTTTGAAGTGGCGGTGAAATGCATTAACAAGAAAAACCTCGCCAAATCACAGTCGCTACTAGGAAAAGAAATCAGGATATTAAAGGTGAGTTTCCTAGTTACACTCTGGGTGCGTCTGTGTGCGCACAGGTTTGCTTGCCATACATGTTATTTATTTATTCATTAAATATCTTCCGAAAAATAGTAAACATTGCGAAATCCGACTTGCGAGGTCATTTGAGCGGTTCTCGCTATCTGAAAGGCTTCTTTGTGCCAAAACAACGATTAGCTATTGATATAAACAGTGTAAAGGGTTTAGCAAATATCATCACCTCCTTATAGAAGCAATTGCATTTATGACTTCTGCTCGCTAATGTAGTGTGTTTTCGCAGGAGCTGAAACATGAGAACATTGTCAGCTTACTAGACTTTCAGGTATGTACCTACTAATTGTATGCTATAACTGGGACGAATTTAAGTTAGTTGTTCGCGGTATATGTGTAAGCCAACTGTGTTGTTTTTAAGTGGTTTCTGTTCTATTAAAACATAGAGCTTTTTCCATGTTACCAAAGATATTTATAGCTGGAATATGGCATGGCTCAGTGTTGATATTATGGGTGCAGTTCCCGTCATCTGATTGGTTAAATGTTAAGCCCCGCCCCTGACGTCACGCTCTGTGGGCAATTTATCAGCATTTTTAGTCATGGTGAATAGATGTAGTCTATATATGACTCACCATGAGTAATAATTCCATGTTGCATCTCTGTGATTTCAAGCTGGACTCCTTGAGAGGCACAGAAAATTGATGTCCCTATTTAGGTATTAATTTGTATATATTTTGTTACATGAATATCTGAACATACAAAACATCAAAAGAACAGGGTATCTGCTTGTAAACAAAAACATTTTATTCTAGCTTCATGCATTCTTTTTTTAAACACTTGAATGTGGGTAAGTTTTATAAATAAAAAATAAAGAAATAAACAACATTTTGAACAAAAAGCTGAAAAAAGACTATGAATTGGATTCAGAATGATAATCAAAACGTAGATAAAGTCGATCAACACCCCAAAGCTTGGCAGTTATTATTACCTCTTCATTGGTCGACATTTTATTCCATAATGTTACATAGTTTTGATGCTGTTTTATGTCTGATGATCGTGTTAGAATACATGTGGAAGCATCTGTTGTTTCTGTTTCTTCTTCACTTGTGTTTTTTGGAAATTCTGTACAGAAGATGTGTACTAGCGCCCCCTACAGTATAACAATGAAAACACGGATTCTAGGAGCATTTTCTAAGTATAAGTCAAGTATACTTAAATGTCATTTTAAGTATATTTCTGAGAAGTACATAAAGCCCATTTCTGAGAAGTACATAACAAGTAGACTAAAAGTATACTTTCCTATTTTTAGTTTAAAAGAAGTATACTAATAGCACACTTGAATAAACTTCTTTTTCGTAAGGGTTCTGTTACCTCAGGAGGATGATGGTGGTCGTGTATGATTAAAAGTATCGTCAAAACGCTTGGGACGAAATATTATTGCAATTTACAATAATAGTCTAAATCTTAAAATGTATTCCTGTGATGGCAAAGCTGGATTTTCAGCATCATTACAGTCTTCAGTGTCACATGACCCTTCAGAAATCATTCTAATATGATTTACTCTTCAATAAACATTTCTTATTATTATCGTGTGCTGCTTAATATTTTTAAAATTTACTGACACTAAACATTTGAACGATAGTGTATCTAATACGTTGTGAACAGTGTTATAACACCCACAGAACTCAATATGGGAATGAGTGAAGAAAGAAACAGACCGCAGACAGTAGAAGGAAAAACAAACAGACAGGACTGAACATTAGTCTCACAACGTTTTACTGCTTTTATCGCCAAGACAGGACTGGAGAGAATGACGCTTGTTCTGCAGGAAGTGTCATCAAGGCTCATGTCAGAGTTGGTGATACACATTAAAAAGCTCTTACATGCTCGATGTCTCATAGATTTGGCCGATTACAGCGTGACCGGGTGGAGTTCGGTTGAGATACAAAAGCAGATTATACAGACTCATTGATTACGTTCACTGCAGATGACAGATGAAGCTCCCAAGCGGCTTTTTCAAATGTAAGTTTAAAGGAGTGCTGCTTATCAGCCACACGTGTTTTATGGGCAGAAGGGGAGCAGAATATGAATAATGATCGACCAGTATCATATATCATTAGGTTTGGGGTTGAGGTGTTTATATGCCAAACGTTCAATTTAATATTGTGAATGGTATAATAACCCAGGCAGAGTGCTCACATAATGCTCTTATTCATTCAGTGATGTAAACGTTATGTGGCGTCCAAAAGAGAAGACAATGACCAGGACTCCTTAATGTGATTTACTGGGAAAACGGCATGGAAAACTGTTCCTGATCCCGAAGTGGATCATTTGGGAACGCTGCCTCTTTTTAATGAACTCCTTACGGACTAAATTTCCTGTTACATGGATAAGGAAAAGATGCCATCAGTCTAATTCGTTCCAATTAAAACAAAAAGGCAGAGCAAAAACAATTAAAAACTACATTTCTAACTAGTCATGCATTTCACAAACCTAGGATTGTCTAGCCTGTCATTTAAATAGGCTTTAACAACACCGATATCTTAATAATAGCCTACATCTTTTTATCTTAAGACTGATAAATCACGATATCATACAACTTTTGGCTAGTACATGATTATCTATCAAAACTTAATGTTCAATCTCTGACTTGTTTCCAGAGAGTTCGTCGCTGCACTAAAAGAGTTTTGATTTGATTATTTTTAGGCTACATTGCATTTACTGTGATTAGTGTGTGCGAGTGTAATAATTCAATTTTACCACAAGAGGGCAATGTTGCCATGTCTAGATGGTCTTAAAAGAGGAAAAGTGCATCTTCTAGACTCGTGCTTCACAGGCAATTGCGCTTTTTGTATTATTATGCGATTTCATTATCTGATCACTTGAGGGTGGCTTGATAATGTTAGATTTATATGATCTTCTGACTGTGTCTTACTCTGTGATGTTGTGTAACTTTCTAATTTGCAAACAGACAATATAATTTAAATAAGTATGGGCACTTGGACAGGTTATATAACATTTGTTACCTTATACATGCATACATACAAACATATATACGTAGATAAATAAATAAATATGTTTGTTTATGGATTTGAATAGAATATAACAGGTTAATTATTCATTAATTTTACTGTTTTTAATCTGTAATTTATTAATTATGATAATGATGTTAATGTACATCATGATATAGGCTATTAATAATAATGAATAATTGCTGTTAAATTATTGTTATTATTATTATTAATTTTAATATTAGTAGTAGTAGTAGTGGTGGTAGTATTAGTAGTATATTAACTAATACACTATTGGCCAAAAGTTTGGAATAATCAATATTTTTTTTTTATGTTTTGAAAGAAGTCTCTTCTGCTCACCAAGGCTTGATTTATTTGATTAAAATACATTAAAACAATAATATTGTAAAACAGTATTACAACTTAAAATAACTGTTTTGTATTTTAAAATATTTTAAGAATATCATTTGTTCCTGTGATGGCAGAGCTGAATTTAATAAGAGCTGAATTACTTCAGTCTTCAGTGTCACATGATCCTTCAGAAATCATTTTAATATGCTGATTTGCTGCTCATACATATCTTATTATCAACGTTGAAAACAGTTTTTGCTTCTTAATGTTTTTTTGTTTTGTTTTGTTTTTTGTTTTGAATGGTTGTGTAAGTTAGGTTTTTAAACAGAGAGAGAAAAAAATGTATACTTTTATTCAGCAAGGATTCATTAACTTGATATTTGAGCTAGGCCTGTCTGTTCATCAACGAATCTTGAAAAATAAAGTGTCACAGTTTCTACCAAAATATTAAGCAGCAAAAGCTGTTTTCAATATTGATAATAATAAACGTTTCTTGAGCACCAAATCATATAATAGCATATTAGAATGATTTCTGGAGGATCATGTGACACTGAAGACTGTCTGCTGGATATTCAGCTTTGCATCACAGGAATAAATTACATTTTAAAATACATGACAAAAGTAAACATTTAAAATGTACAATATTACTGTTTTGTACTGTATTTTTGATTAAGCATATGTAGCCTTGGTGAGCATAAGAAACTTCTTTCAAAAAAATATTTTTGGCCAGTAGTGTGTATTTGTCCACAACATCAGCAGCTCACGAGGTTAACATTTTGACCCGGCGGCTCCTCGACATGCGCATGCGCACATCAAGCCACTGGCGTGCGGACAGAGCGCTAGTGCTCATGCGTGTAATGCACACGCAAGTTTCAAGCTTTGTTTGGCAAGTGACGACCAAAACAGCGCAGTATACGTCTCTGAACCCGAGGCTGTTTCTGACAGTTTCCAAATCTAATTTAGTACACTTTTGTACGCTTGGTGACATATTTTTGAACAAAGGGTTAACATAATACGATCAAGATGACAGTGACTTTGTTTTTATTAACAAGGTAGCGACTGCCGATCATGACCGAAGTGTCAGATTGTTTGGGTGCAAAGCAGCGGATGGGAAGCGACAGACGGGTACACACAGATCCCTCACACCCCGACCTCTCGCCTGTGGATTTACTGAGCAGATTTAAAGTCTATACGCGATGGAAAGCGTTGGAAAATTCGAGTTCAACAGGAAGGACTTGATAGGACACGGCGCGTTTGCTGTGGTGTTCAAAGGAAGACATAAAAAGGTAACGCTATGATGAGCATTTCGTAATGCTGATGCCTGTTGAGCTGTATACTGCGGCTCGACATGCGAATAATTACTCGACACGAATGCTATAAACGTAAATCGATGTCTTCATTCACAGAAACATGATTTTGAAGTGGCGGTGAAATGCATTAACAAGAAAAACCTCGCCAAATCACAGTCGCTACTAGGAAAAGAAATCAGGATATTAAAGGTGAGTTTCCTAGTTACACTCTGGGTGCGTCTGTGTGCGCACAGGTTTGCTTGCCATACATGTTATTTATTTATTCATTAAATATCTTCCGAAAAATAGTAAACATTGCGAAATCCGACTTGCGAGGTCATTTGAGCGGTTCTCGCTATCTGAAAGGCTTCTTTGTGCCAAAACAACGATTAGCTATTGATATAAACAGTGTAAAGGGTTTAGCAAATATCATCACCTCCTTATAGAAGCAATTGCATGTATGACTTCTGCTCGCTAATGTAGTGTGTTTTCGCAGGAGCTGAAACATGAGAACATTGTCAGCTTACTAGACTTTCAGGTATGTACCTACTAATTGTATGCTATAACTGGGACGAATTTAAGTTAGTTGTTCGCGGTATATGTGTAAGCCAACTGTGTTGTTTTTAAGTGGTTTCTGTTCTATTAAAACATAGAGCTTTTTCCATGTTACCAAAGATATTTATA